GGCTGTCTTTGTCTGGAAGCTTCACTGAAACCTATCCACCATGGGTGTCCCTGCTGGGATTTAAAATAACAGTGGTATGGCTTCCAGCATCACAGCAACATACAAGCAATGAGAATATGACTAACTGACTGATCAGTCCTCCATAATCTCATCTTAATCTTTACTCCTTGTTGTTGTGAAGTGCCGTCAAGTCGGTGCCGACCCATAGCAACCCCGTATAGGGTTTCCGAGGAGCAGCTAGTAAGCTTGAACTGCCAACTTTGCAGTTCAAATGGCTTTGCAGTCTTGCGCATTACCCCACAGAACCACACCAGGACTCATTTTTAAGTGAGATGTTAATCAGGCAGGATTAAGCTGGGAGTAAGATTAAAGTCCTGGTGTGGTTCTCCTTTCCTTCCTAGGCTGTCTTTGTCTGGAAGCTCCACTGAAACCTATCCACCATGGGTGTCCCTGCTGGGATTTATACTGCTTCAGAGAATAAAATATGGCTAGAAGGGCCATAGTAAAGAGTTAGCTACCCTGCAGTCTTCCTTATTCACTGTCTAGCTTTCAGATATATATGAAGTGAGTTGAGGGAAAAAAAAACCTAGGCTTAGGTCAGGTACACATTTACATTTTTGCTTTTTAACACTTTAAAGAGGTCTTTTGCAGTAGATTTGCCCAATACAATAAATCCTTGATTTCTTGACTGCTGCTTCCATGAGCATTGATTGCTAATCCAAGTATATGGAAATCTTCAACAACTTCAATATTTTCTCCACTTATCATGTTTTTTATTGGTCTAGTGGTGAGGATTTTTGTATTCTTAATGTTGAGATACAATAATGGCTGTAGTCTTTGATCATCAGCAAGTGCTTCAAGTCCTATTCTCTTCCAGCAAGCAAAGTTGTGTCATCTGATTATTGCAGATTGTTAATGAGTCTTCCTCCAATCCTGATGCCATGTTCTTCTAAATATAGTCCAGCTTTTCAGATTATTGTCTCAGCATACAGATTAAATAAATCTAGTGAAAGCAACAACCCTGACACACAACTTTCCTTTGTTTAGAACACATATTTGCCTAAATATCACTGTAAAATTTAAACACCATGGTTTGGACCTTCTCGATGTAATGGATGCTTTGGTTAGTGAACTGGGGTCAAAACTGTTAAGACCTCTTCAACTATTCCTTAATGGTGAATATATCATTAAGTGAGGTAAACACATAAAACTGTGCAAGCAGACTCACGGAACTGTATGAAGTAAAGCAACAAATGATGATCATTAAGATAGGATGATTGAACAGAAGTATTAACCATCAGTAAAATCTGAGTCCAACTATCAGATTCTGACAAACAAAATCCAATGAAAAGTTAAAGATTATGATGTACAGTGAAGCTAAAAAATTCTAAAGTACACATCAAAGAGTCATACCATGTTTTCACACATTTATTTACTGGGTCAATCAATAATCATATTTCATCCAATTTATAATCCATTAACTGAAATAAGAATCCTGAGTACAGAGATCTTAAAATGAACAAAAATATATATACATCTTAGAATACGGGTGTAACAGGCCTAGTAAGGTAGGTGGCTTTTGTCCTTGACTTTAAAGAAATAATCATTAAAGTAATTGAGTGTCTTGGTCTGAAACTTCCAGGACAAGCCAGAAAATGTGTCGGGGAGGGCCAAACCAAAAAAGACTTACCCGGGAGTCTAATATCAGCTAGCCTCAAGACAGTAGCCAATAAAAACCTTGAACATGGAGGTTTAGAAAGCTTATTGGTTGGTGAGAACATCTCTCAGGAGGGCAAGCTAGTCCCTGCAACATTCAAGGTCTGCATTGGGAACCCTCCCAGACCTCACCCTATGTGTCTCTTCTTTTTTTCCTTTTGGGCTATATTAAGTCGATAGTCTTAAGTATGGTTGCTATTGTTGTTGTTAGGTGCCTTTAAGTAGGTTCCAATTCATAGCAACTTTATACACAACAGAATAAAATACAGCCTGGTCCCACGCTATCCTCACAATTGTAGTTAAGCTTGAGCCCATTGCTGTTGCCACTGTTCCAATCCATCTCATTGGGTGTCTTCTTCTTTTTCATTGACCATCCACTTTACCAAACATGATATCCTTCTCTTGGGACTGGTCCGTCCTGATAATATGTCTAAAGTATGAGCGACAAAGTCCCACCACCCTGGCTTCTTAGGAGCATTCTGACGGTACTTCTTGCAACACTGATTTGTTTGTTCTTCTAGCAGTCCATGGTACTTTTCATATTCCCCAGCACCATAACTCAAATGCATCAACTCTTCAATGGTTCTTTTTCCTCATTGTCCAACTTTTACATGTATATAAAGCTATTGAAAATTCCATGGCTTGGGTCAGGTGCACCTTAGTCCTCTCACTGACATAAGTATGACATACACTTCGAATTCTGTGAGTCCTTTCAGTGAGAGCCAGATGGTCAAAAGTAAGGGTGGAATATGGACTCCTCATCTTATAGCTGACATCCTGGAAGAGAGGTAGGAAATGGCCAGCAACATTGGGGTGTTGTGTGGACTCCCTAAACTTGCAGCTACTGGTGGCTGCCTATTTGGAGATCTGAAAGACTATGTCCTAATTTGTGGGTTCTGACTTAGTTATGGGTGACTAGAAGAGAGAAAGAGTGCCATGGAGGTGGTTGGCAACAAGGATGGTGAAATGAGAACTACAATAATCTCCACATTTGGGGGACTGCTGTATTCATGCATATTCTTACTATACAAAAACAATAAGGTAATGGTAACTGTTTTGTTTTAGAGAGAGATTTTTAAAATGTTTGAGAAAACTTAAGTCTGACATATTACTGAATTCCTCATCACTGAGGATATCTAAAACAAAAGACACTAACGTTGCTGACTGGTGCTGTTGAGTTGGTTCTGACTCACAGCAACCCCATGTATGATGATACTTTAAAATGTCATGAAAAAGTCCATAAACTTTTTATTCCATTTTTTTCACAAACTTTTGAATCACAGCAGAACAAAACACTGCCCAGTTCTTCACTACCCTCATAATCAGGCAGCCACTCTGTCAATCCAAAATATTTATCTTGTCTGATTGACAGATATTAATGTGAAGGTAAATATTCTAAATATTTTTGTTATAGAGTTCAGGTTTCCTTGGACCACATCACAGGGAAATTCAAATGATCTGAAACACCCTTAACTCTCTATAACTTTAAAAAAACAGTAAAAAGTAAGCAACAGAGGAAATATAAATTAAAGAAATAATTTACACATCCATTGCTTATTCATCTTTTTTCCAATATTGACTAGTTTCTTTTATGTCAAATAAGCAATCTTTTATTGTAGCTCTAACAATATAATTAAAACACACTTGCATTTCCAATGAAATCCAACATTTGTTTAGCTTCTATTGAACTGTCTACTTTTGCTAAGCCTAAAGAAGGCTGCGAACCTTAAGGTCAGCGGTTCGAAACTACCAGCCGCTCTGCGGGAGAAAGATGAGGCTTTCTACTCCCGTAAGGATTTACACCCTCGGAAACCCTGTACGGGGTCGCTATGGGTCAGAACCGACTCGATGGCACTTAACAACAACAACAACAAAGAAGGACCTATTGGAATACGGAGAGAAGGGCAAAGTACATACTAGAAATATTTGTTTCTAATTCATGTGCTTAAAATATGTAGCCAAAAATATTGGCCTATAAACAACAACACTTGAAACTATGGCTTTCAACCAGAGTGACCACATTTGATTTGCCTGGATCAGTCTGATTTTGTGCTTGTTACCCAGTGTAATCATTAACACTCTCTATTAATCTTATACATGTCTCAATATGGACAATAATATGATACTCTCACACTGATACTTCAGAAAGTCAATATTAGTTTATGATCTTAAAGATCAGCTAGATCATAGGAGCAAAGTCAGTTAATTTTCTCAGATGAGTCATTTCAGAATTTAAGTAAAGTACAGCTGGTACACAAAGATGTGAAAGCAGCTGCCTGTGGAAATCTGAGGGGGCTTTAAAATGTTTGTGGAAAATTTGAATTAAAAGAAAATAGAACTTTGGGGGCAAGATAGCATGGTAGGCAGATGCACTGAGCAGACACTCTGCAACAAAGACATGGGAGACCAAGTGGCATCGATACAGATGACAATCCTGGAACCCTGAGTTTCAGAAGACAGAAAGAAAGGTAGATTGAGTGCCAACTGGAAAAGGAAGCTGAATAGGAACAGTGGGAAACACGAAAAGCAGGCAGACAGCAGCCTGGCCTGGGGCAGCACAGCCATCTTGAAGTTTCATGAGCAGCTGCTGATACATCTCATGCAGCCTGCAGACACCAGAGCGGCAGGAGGTTGGCAGCAAGGGGGTGTGGTTCTCCCTTGTTGCTGTGTCTTCCTATAGCCAGGGGTGTGATCGGTCCCACCCTCACCAAACCAGTGGTCTGTAGCATTCCTCCTGTGCATTCTCTACTCTAACTGGGGTCAAGCACCAGCTATACAACCCCAGCTGAACTGCACTACGCAAACAGCAAACACTGCTTACACACTTCCAGTTTCTATCACATCCACCAGGAAACAGGAATTCAGTGCCTGAGAGCAAAATTATAATCCCAATCCTAACTTCTTACTCCTATGTCCCCAATGCCCCCCAAAAAACATCCTAAAAAAAGAGAAAATAACATTTATCCATGAACTTTTTAAAGCTCCCATATATGTCCAATGACAGCTGGCCTACTTTTATTTATTATAAACCAAGGATATTAAAGGAATTCTTAGTATTTTATTTATGGTCCACGAATGACTTTATATATGAAATTAAAGTAGGAAGAAACCTACTTCTTAAGGGGCCTCCTGACCAATAAGCATAATTTATAAAGTCCCAAAATGCAATCATTAGACTATATATTCCAAAATATACAGCACAGCAATAAAGCAATTAAACTAAGGATAATGGCTAGAATGGAAACACCCTTTTGTGAATACAGACTGTAAAACAAAAACCTTACCTTTTCCCAATTCCAGCTGCCTGTTCTTCAATGAAAACAATCTGAGAAAGGGGAATGGCCATGCAGCATTCCTAGCATGAAATCAATAGAAAACAAGATTCAGATCACTTGTCAGAAATTCTTGTTTCATAGCATTTAATAATTAAAATAATAAAACATGCCATCTTAATCTCTAAATAAATTTAAAGAAAAAGTAAATAAAAACTATAGTGAGATGGCATTTTGCTGTGTGGAAGGAAATCACAGGTTTAAATGCAACTGTTAACAACTACCTTTGTTTCAGTTTTTATTAGTTCCATCCCTATCATATATTCAAACCCCATATGTATTTGAAGACATCATCTTCAGAATATTGTGACTGCTTTGATTTTGCTGATTCAAAGTGACTTCCGCCATGTCACAGCTCTTATATGGCAATTTGTGTTCATGTCCCTAGATCAGATCTTTATGCAGGCCAGCTCAGGTCAAGTTTGTCTTAAGGACTTACCAGAACTGGACACTGGTCTCTAATGGATGCTTCTCTCTGCACTTGCTCCATCGACCCTTCTCTGAACAGCACCCTGCGTGTCCTCAAATTGACTCAGATCTTTTAGCTTGGCTCCGTGGCATGGGCAGGGGGGTATCTTTAAGTCTCATATCTATTCCAGTCCAAACAGATGAAACCTTTGTTTTTACAGTTGTTGTTGTTCCGACGCATAGTGACCCTGTATAGAGTTTCTGAGCAGCAAATGGTTGATTTGAACTGCCAACCTTATGGTTCAAACTGACTTTATGGTCCAATGCATGACCCCACAGGCATACTTTTAGTAGGCATACATATTTTTTTAATTTTATTGTACCAAATATAACAAAAAAAATTACCATTTAGCCATTTTAAGGTGTTCAAAATTCAGTGGCACTAACAATATTCACCATGTTACATTTATGACCTATATTCCACTATTCACTTCTAAAAGTTCTTCATCACCCAAGTGGTAACACCCCAAGTACCCTTCAGCAATAACTCCCATTTCCTCTTTCCTCCAAGCCCTGGTCTCTTTGCATTTGCCCTTTCTATATAATTCATAAAGTATTAATACTTTTGTATTTGACTTATTTCACTGAGCATGATTTTTCAAGGTTTATGACATACATGTATCAGAACTTAATTTCTCTTTATGGTTGAACAATATTACCTTATGTCATATATTGTTTATTTTTCATCTATTGATAGACAAATAGGCTGTTTCTACCTTTTGGCTATTATGAATAGGGCTGCAATGAACACTGATATACAAGTATCTGTTTGAATCCCTGCTTTCAATTCTTTGGGGAATATACAAAGGAGTGGAATTACTAGATCATATGGTAATTCTCTCATATTTCAGACAAGTCAACAGGAAGGACCAGTCTCTGGAGAAGGCGATTATGCTTAGTAAAGTGGAGGGTCAGCGAAAGATAAGAAGGTGCCCATGAGATGGACTGACATAGTGGCAGCAGCAATGGGCTCCAAAGCTTGACAACAATTGTGAGGATAACAGAGGACCTGGCAGGGTTTCATTCTGTTGTGTATGAGGTTGCTATGAATCAGAACTGACTCGACAGCAGCTAACAACAACAATAAAATAATTTTATGTTTAATATTTTAGACACAAATTTTTCGAAAACTTGAACTATTAACAGCCATAACAGACTGCAAAGCCGTTTAAACTGCAAGGTTGGCAGTTCAAGCTCACCAGCTGCTCCTCAGAAACCCTTACAGGGTCACTATGGGTCGGAATCGACTTAACGGCACTTTATAACAACAACAAGCAAGCATGCGGATTAAGGTTTCTCCCCATCTTCACCAATACTTTCTATTATCCATTTTTCTGATAATAGCCATCCTGCTGTTGTTGTCAGGTGATGTCAAGTCAGTTCCAACTCATCATGACTACATGCACAAAAGAACGAAACACTGCCGGTCCTGTGCCATCCTCAAAATCATTGTTAAGCTAGAGCTTACTCTAGCTTGCTGCTGCCACTGTGCCAATCCATCTCATTCGGGGTCTTCCCCTTTTTCTCCGACCTTGCATTTTACCTAGATGATGTCCTTCTCCAGGGAATGGACCTTCCTGACAGTATGTCTGAAATATGAAAGAAGTCTTAACATCCTGGCTTCTAAGGAGCATTCTGGCGGTATTTCTTCCAAGACAGATTTGTTTGTTATTCTGGCAGTCAAAGGTTCTTTTAATATTCTTCACCAACACCATAATTCAAATTAATCAATTCTTCTAGGATCTTCTTTATTTACTGTTCAACTTTCAAATGCATATAAAACTACTGAAAATACTATTGTTTGGGTTAGGTACACCTTAGTCCTCAAACTGACACCTTTGTTTTTGAACACTTTAAAGAGGCTTTGTGCAGCAGATTTTCCTGATGTAATATGTCATTTGACTATTGCTTCCATGAATGTCAACTGTGGATCTGGCAGCAGCCATCTTAAAAGAGCATGAATGGCTTAGAGACAAGAAAACATATTTGCATGGCAAAAACCTACCATGACTCACGAAGACAAAGGTGCAATTTGTTTGGATTTTTTTTTCCCCAAGCAGCGTGCTGCCCCTGGGAATCTCCCACTTTCCAGTACACTGGAACAGGAAGTCAGAGCCATTTGGAGACTGAGGGCCACAGGAGAAGCTATATACTATATAATCCCACTAGACCAGTCTTGGATCCAAATCTGCAAAGTCAACCCTGGCTAGCCCTGGAAACCCTGTACAGGGTCACTATGAGTCGGAACCGACTCGACGGCACACAACAACAATAATCAATAATTACACTGAACATTAATGGATTAAATACACCAGTCAACAGACAGAAAATAGCAGAATGGATAAGAAAACAGGATCCTTCATATGCTGTCTACAAAAGAGACTCCTTACATACAAAGATAAAAACAGATTAAAGGATGGGGGGAAATATATCAAGCTAATTGCAATAAAAAACAAGCAGGAGTGACAATATTAAGCTCTGATAAAATAAACTTTAAGGCAAAAACCAGTATAAGAGACAAAGAAAGCCATTATCTCATGATTAAAGAGTCAATTAAACAAAAGGACAAAACCAAAATAAATACCAATGAAAGAACCTCAAAACACATAAATCGATCCCTAATAGAAATGAAGAAAGAAATAGACGACTTTACAGTAATAGTGGCAGATTTTAATACACTGAGCTGCAACCCATGCAGAAGCCTGTGGCCTTTGATCTTCATCAGTAAATATGTTAAGTCCTCTTCACTTTCAGCAAGCAAGGTTGTATCATCTGCATATCACAAGTTGTTATTGAGTCTTCCTCCAATCTTGATGCTACATTCTTCTTCATATAACTTAGCATCTCAGATTGTGTCTTCAGCATATAAACTAAGTATGATAAAAGAATACAACCCTGGCACACGTTTTCTGATTTTAAACCATTCAGTGTCCCCTTGTTCTGTTCGAACAACTACCTCTTTTTCTATGTACAAGTTCCTCATTAATAAAATTAAATGTTCCGAAATACTCATTCTCCACAATATTGTCATGATCCACAGAGTCTAAAGTGTTTGCATAGTCAATAAAGCACAGGTAAACATCTTTCTGGCATTCTCTGCTTTCAGCCAAGATCCATCTAATATCAGCAATGATATCCCTTGTTCCACATTCTTGGCTGAATCTGGCTTGAACCTCTGGCAGTCTGTCACTGTACTTTTGCAGCCATTTTTAAATTTCTCCAGCAAACTTTTACTTGTATGTGATATTAATATTATTTGATGATTTCTGTATTTCACTGTGTCACCTCTCTTTGGAACGGGCACAAATAAAGATCTCTTCCAATCAGTGGGCCAGGTAGTTGTTTTCCAATTTTCATCTGTGGTAGCTTACATGTTGCTATTATGCTGGAAGTTATACCACTATTTTAAATACCAGCAGGGTACACCCATGGTGGACAGATTTCAGCTGAGCTTCCAGACTAAGACAGACTAGGAATAGGAGAGGCAGACTACTTTGGAATGTTTAGCCATTGAAAACCTTATAAACAGCGGTGGAACACTGTCAAATAGCAACAGAATGTTGTCAGATTAAAACATGATGAATAGCAACAGAATATTGTCAGATATAGTGCCAGAAGATGAGCCCTTCAGGTTGGAAGGCACTCAAAATACAACTGAGGAAAAGTAGCCTCCTCAAAGTAGAGCTGACCGGTGATGATGCGAATGGATTAAAGCTACCGGGACTTTCATTTGCTGATGAGACACAACTCAAAATGAGAAGAAACAGTCATCCTAGTATATATGAATAAGGAGTATATATGTTTTTAATAATATTAAAATGAAAACATTTTACATGTAATATTTACTTATATGAAGATAAAAGTTAAAGAAGATAAAACAGTTTTAAGAACTGTGTTATATGAATTATTTTTCTTCTTTATGGTTTTCTGTACTCCACCTCCAAACACATAAAATTTTTAACAAAAAAAGATTGAAATACTTATCCTTCATTAAAGAAAAAAATTATTTATGAAGGTAAGTCAAAAATCAGGACGTAGATTTTAATCAAGTTTTAGAAAAGACAAAAATATTCTTTAGGGACATAATCGACTTGCTTTTCAATAAACTTTGTTCATCTGTCAACAAGCTTTCTAAGTCCCTTATTAAAATATGTTTTAAGCTGAGTTATAAGCCATAAATGCACCGCTGTCTTCACTTCTTCATCAGAGGTGAATCTTCACCACAAACATGTGAAATTCTGAAGGAGCAAAATCAGGACTCGCAAGATGCTTTAACACCTCAAAACAAAGATTTTGCAGAGTGTCAACAGTGTGGGCAGAGGTGTGCAGACATGCATTGCCATGTAAGATCGCAATGCCGTTGGATAGCAGTACTCTGTATTTAACACAAAATTTAGGCTTCAGCTCTTCAGCGAGCATCTCACTATAATGAGCACCGTTGATTGTTAAACCTTTTTATTGACAGTGTTCCAATTTTAGTCCTTGAGAATCCCAGAAAACTGTAAGCATAATTTTCTAACTTATGTTTGACTTTTGAACTTTTTTTTGGTCATCAACAGGATGTTTCCATTCCATACTCTGCCATTTACTCTCAGGCTCACAGTGATGAAACCATGTCTCATCACCAGGGACAATTTTTTTAAAGAAACTTTTACCTTCTTTCAAGTATCAGTCCAAATTTTGTCCAAACTCTTCTTTTTATGCTCTTCCATGAGTTGTTTTGGTACCCATCGCACACAAACTTTTCGAAACCCAGGTCTGTCATGGACAATTTTATAGGCAGAGTCATGGTTGATTTGCAAATGATTTGCCACATAATCCACTGTCACTTGTCTATTCAACAGAATCATTTCTCATGCATGCTCAATGCTGTCATCCACCATGGATATGGACAAGCGTTTTACTACAATTGTAGTGTGGATAATTTTGAATTACCCTCATATCACTGACATGTACCAACTCTAAGGATTTGTCCAATTTGGCCTCCTTAGATGATCTTCAAAAAAAATTATATTAAGATAAATTAATTTATAAACATGGTTTAACGACACACTGCTCACCATAAAAAGTGACTATAAAAAATAATGTAGACGAAATAGCTTAGCTTATTAGCAAAACTGAAACCGGCATATATATATACACTGTTGTTGTTGTTGTTAAGTGCCACATAGTTGCTGTTAAATGCCATCGAGTCAGTTCCAACTCATAGGGATCCTGTATAGGGTTTCTGAAGAGCGACTGGTGAACTTGAACTGCTGACCTTGCCGACCTTGCGGTTCGTGGTCCAGTGCATTATTCCATAGTGCCATACCAGACTCTAAATATATATACATATATACTTCCAAAATTATAGCTCTATGTGATTAAGATAACAGCCCTATAAACACATAACCCACTCTCCCTTCCTAAATATTAGAAAGTAGTGTAAGGGGCAGACATTACCCTCTTGATGAGCAACCTAGAGGCAGTTCTCAACACCTAGGTAAAAAAAATGTATTTCACAGCACACCTATCCACCTGATTCTCATCAACAACCTGGGAGAACGAGTTATTTGGAGGACATATAAGCCTTTCTTAATGACCTGTCACAAACAATAGGAGAATTACTCCAGTTACATGAGAAACATTTAGAGACGAAGCAGGATTTAACTGGTACTTACAAAAGAGGAGTTGCCATGATCTCTCTCATTTAGTAACTACAGAGTTTTCTGGAACCAAATGAGGAGCAACACCTTAACTTCTCCACCTGCACTCCATCTGGCAAGGCCATGTGACGACATCCTAACCCCTCCATCTGTACTCCCTATGTAGAGGTCATGTGACAACACTCTAATTCCTTCACCTGTTCTTCATCTGGGTGGTCATGTGACAATACCCTAACCCCTCCATCTGGTGAGGTCATGTGACAACATCCTAACTCCTCCACCTGCACTCTTTTGGGAACAGTTATATGGGACACACTCTTTTGATACTCTGTAAATATAAATTTATCGCAATTAAAAAAAACCTTAAGTCATTTAAAATCTAGAAAAGATGCAAAAAACTGGCTTACGTGATTTTTCTGATCTCTCCAAATTAGTCGGTGTGTACTAAGAAGGAGGGTCCCAGCATCAAATTTTATCTAGAAAGAGAAAAATCACCACAATATTAGTAACACGTCACTTAATGTCCAGATGTTCTTACGACTTACATAATACTAAGTCAATCATATGAACAGCATTTTATAATTAAGTTTATCACAAATTTAAAAATTTTAAAAGACAAAATGCTATGTTGTTGTTAAATACCGTGGAGTCGGTTCCAACTCATAGCAACCCTGCACAAGGTTGTAAATCTTTATAGGAGCAGAATACCTCATCTTTCTCCCGTGGAAAGACTGGTAGTTTCAAACTGCCGACCTTGAGGTTAGCAGCCCGATTTGTAATCACTATGCTACCAGAGCTCCTTAAGCAATGCTATACACTTCATAAATATATATATATTTGTTGTTGTTGTTAAATGCCACTCATAGAAACCCTGTATAGGATTTCAAAGGAGGGGCAAGTGGGTTTGAACTGCCAACCCTGTGGTTACCAACCCAGTGCTTATCCTATAGCGCCATACCAAGACTCCTTGTGTGTGTATGTATGTGTGAGTGTAAATGTTGTTATTACGTGCCATTGAGTTGGTTTTGATTCATAGTGACCCTATATAGGGTTTCCAAGGAGAGGCTGATGGGTTTGAAAAGTTGACCTTGTGGTTAACAGTCTAATGTTTACCCTACAATGCCACACCAGGATTCATACATACACACAGAGTCTTGATAGAGTTAGTGACAAATTGTAAACAAACTAGATGTGTAAGAATAATGTTGTTGTTAAATGACAGGGTACTGGTTAAATAAATTATGATACATTCATACTAGGGAATCCATGCAGAGGTTAAAAAATGATAAAGTAGAGCCATATGGACTATCATGGAACTCTAAAACATAGAGTAACAACAAAACAAAACAAAACTTTATAACAACATATATAATCATATATCTATCTCCTAAACAACATCTGATAGATAGAGGATAGATAGATAGATAGATAGATAGATAGATAGATAGATAGATAGATAAAGAGAAAGATAGATATGTTGTTGTTAGTGCCATCAAGTCAGTTCCTACCCACAGCAATGCTGTGTACAGGTTCCAAGGAGCGGCTAGTGAACTTGAACTGCCGTCCTTGTGGTTCAAACCAACTTTGCAGTCCAGCGCGTTCCCACTATGCCACACCAGAACTACATACAGACATATATATAGTTGTTTTTAAGTGCCATTGAGTCAGTTCCGACTCATAACAACCCTGGATAGGGTTTCTGAAGAGAAGGTGGTGAGCGTGAATTGTTGAGCTTGTGGTTCAAATCGATCTTGCAGCAAGCTAGCATGTTAAGCTGCAGTGCCACACCCAGACACTGTCTATCTATCTAGACATATCTATGTTTATACAGATTTACAGCCTCGGAAACCCTGTGCAGGGTCGCTATGAGTCGGAACCGACTCCAGGGCACATAACAACAACAACATATATATACACACGGCTGTATTTACACAGATAGATATATATACACACTGCTGCATTTCACACAAATAATGTACACGTTATGCTGTTTCAATCATACAACTTCCACCATGCATTCTTTTACATCAATTTTTTTTACATGTTGATGACATGAAATTTACCAGTAAATCAAAAATTAACTTTTATAACTGCCTGTATATCATCATTATTCTCATTATTTCACCATGTTGAAACCCAAGAGTATAAATTCACCAAGAACTTCAAAAGTAGTGTCTTCAGACAATTTTTATGTACATAATTAAGAGATTAAAGAAAATAAACAGACGAAAGAAAATGAACTAAGTGATATAATTTACTTGTAATGTGGGAGGACAGGTGAATGAGAACAAAATTCCCTTGTGGAACTATCAAAAGATGTGCACAGTACATGCGCAGGCACGCTATACCAGATCTCTCTTACTAAACTTTATAATTTTCATGTGTTATATGTACGGGAGAAAGATGAGCCTTTCTGCTCCTGTAAAGATTTACAGCCTCGGAAACCCTGTACAGGGTTGTTATAAGTCGGAACTGACTCCACGGCACATAACAACAACAACAACATAAGTGTGGGTGCATTATTTGTGAAAATGTGATACATAAGGATAAGTCAAACAATACTGTTACAAAATTATATAAACCTTTATTAAACAAAAATACCAAAATTTGAAGCTACTATTTCTTGTCCTATCCTCTCTATCTAGGTCTGTATACTTCTGAAGAGCGTGTTTCCATCGGCCCAAGCCGTCCCTGAAAAATTCTGCAATATTCGATTTACACCACGTCAAAATGGCAATCTTGGAATCATGGAAAGATTCAAATCATGTTCCTTTTCAATGTTCTTTTAGTCTTGAGAACAAAGGGAAGTCTGAGGGGACATGACCAGGACTGTAGAATGGACTGGAGTACGGTTTCCCAACAATATTCTCCAAGGACAGCCCTTGCTACCCTGGAAGAATGAACAGGTGCAATGTCATATTGGAAAAAACTTCCTTGATACTTTTCCATCCTGTCCTGCAGCCAAGCCAGGGGAGCTGAGCTGTGTGACAAGCGGTGTTACTGCTGTTGTCATCGCCACCCGTCTGTTGTTGTTAGGTGACATCAAGGTGATTCCGACTCTTAGTGACCCTGTATAGGGTTTTGGAGGAGCAGCCAGTAGGTCTGAATAACTAACCTTGGAGTTAGCAATCCACTGCTTATCTTACAGTACCACAACAAGACTCCGCCGCTTATCTAAGGGACTTCAAATTCACCCATGAGACAGGAATTTGACAAGGACTCTGTCGCAAAGACGAGGGACCTTTTTCCACATTGGTGAACTGCAGCACAGGGGTGGCGATCTGCTCCCAGAAGGTTACGGCTGCAGTTTCTATTGCTAATATTAATAGAAAGTTCTCTTAGTCAAGCTGATGACACTGGTGATATTGGTAATGTAATCATTACTAATGATAATGCAACCAACCATTCTGAAGCTACTGGAGGTAGACCATCTTGTAGGTAAGGTGCTTGTAGGTAGACCATCTTGTAGGTAGGTAAAGAATTTGGAAATGGAATGATTTCCGTGGCTATTATTGTAACAGAACTTCTAAAACATGCAGAAGAAATACTCAAGCAGAAAATTTAGACCACATCAATTATTAGTGGCTATTGACTTGCTTGTATGGAAGTAGTGTGTTGTGACAGTGAAAGGCTCATTATTAACACAGGCGAACTTGAAAAAGATTGCCTGGTTAATGCTGCCAAGACATCTATGTCTTCCAAATTCATTGAAATAAACAACTATTTCTTCACTTATGTGGTGGGTGCTGCACTTGTTATCAGATATACAAACAGAAGAGGTCAACCTCACTACCCAGTCAATTACGTTACTATTCACAAAGCCCATGGGAGAAGTCACACAGAGACTCTACTGATCAGTGACTAGGCACTCAACTGTGTGTTGGGATCGCAGGGCAGGCCCAAGAGACTAGTTACTGCAAAAATGGCTTGCCTTATCTTCAGCCTACAGAAAACAAAAATGAAGCTTGGTAAATAGGTGGTTATTATATACCCTGAAAAACAGGACCAAATTAGAATCCAATATCACCAAGGAGAGAATTCAGAAGATCCTGGAAACTGGGACCAATGTTATCCTAAGCACTGGTGGCATTGATGACCTGTGTCTGGAGTATTCTGTGGAGGCTGGTTCAATAGCAGTTAGAAGAGTTTTACAAAGGGATCTTAAACATGTCGCTAAAGATTCCGCAGCAACTATTCCATCAAAGTTCTGGCCAATCTAGAAGTTAAAGAAACTTTTGAAGCTATAATGTTGAGAGAAGCCAAAGAGGTGGTACAGGAGAAACTGTGATGATGAACTGATTTTAATGAAAAACACTGAATCCATATTCTTACATAAAGCAAATTATTTCATGGGCAACGAAATGAAGTGCCATTTACATGATGCTCTTTGAGAAGAGAGTTTTGGAGTCAAAGTTGTGGTTCCCGGTGGGGGTGTTGTAGTAGCAGCCCTGTCCACAAACCTTTAAAATTATGCTACCAGCATGAGATCTGGGAACCGCTTGCCACTGCAAAGTCCGCAAGATCCCTCCTCGTTATTCCTAATACACTCGCAGTTAATGCTGCCCAAGACGTCACAGATTTGGTTGCAAAGTTAAGACCTTTTCATAATGAGGGTCAAGTTAATCCAAAATATAAAAATCTAAAATGAATTTGTCTATGGCTAACTAGTAACAACAAATAAGAGTGTCTAAACAAGCCATAATTAAAGTGAAGAGTTTGAAAATTGCAATCTAAGTGGTTATCACCATTCTTCGGATTGATGATCTTATTAAGTTACACCCAGAAAGTAAAGGTGATCAACATAGAGGTTATAAAGATGCTGTTCACTCAGGTGCCCTTGATGACTGATATGCTTTCTCTTTTAGGTATAACAATGCTAGATGAATTTGTCTTGTATTTCTAGTATCGTTGCTTTTGTGCAATCCAATCAGTTCCAACTCACAGAAGCCCTGTATAGGGTTTCCAAGGAGAGGCTGGTGGTTTGAACCAATGGCCGTAAGGTTAGCTGTCCAGTGCTTTTCCTACTGCACCACACCAGTACACATTAAGCATGTTGTTGTTGTTGTTGTTATGTGCCGTGGAGTCAGTTCCGACTCACAGCGACCCTGTACAGGGTTTCCAAGGCTGTAAATCTTTATAGGAGCAGCCCGATTCGTAACCACTATGCTACCAGAGTTCCTTACACATTAAGTATAACCTGCTATAAAAAAAAAAAATTTCCTCAGTGAAATGTTCCTGGCTTTTTCTCATTATACAGTTTTCTATTTTCTTGAAACTTCTTCCTAATAAGCTCCCTTGACCAATCATCCTGTGTCCTTCGAGAAAATCTATCAAGAGGGCCCCTTTAGAATCCCAAAAAATAGCTGTCATAACCTTCTGAGTTGATCTGTCTTGAATATAACTGACCCAGTAGATCCCCTCAAAGACCCTTCTGATTGTACCTTACTTTGACACACACTTGTATACTTATGTAACA